ACCGGAGAATGCAGCCAAACGCCGGACGTCGGTGGCAGAGATGTCTGACCTCAGACTGGTTCTTGGTTGACCTATAAGCATCTTTGGAACCTACTGTAGAAGATACTGGCGCAGAGTGAATCGTACTTACATATAATCTCTCTAACACACACACATGTATAAGTCAAGTTATTAGTCTTCCCATTAGTCATTGTTCATGTTAGTGTTTTACATGTGTAATGTCCAGGGCGGGACTGAAAAATATAAAAATAGCTTTTTTAATATGTAATATATTAATATTAAAATAAAAATTAATTACAAAATAAAATTTAATTATGTTTATTTAAGAACCATTCAATCTTATGTAAAGCTACTAATTAGATTGTTGGATTCAAAATTTGCTAATAAAGGAAATAAAATTTTATAAATGTAATAATATAAGAAAAATAAAATTTTGGGGCTTCTACTTTTGATTGGAGTCTAATGATATAAGCAAATAAATATTTTAGGGAAGTAAAAATATATAAAGAAATATTTGGGGTAATGTTAGTGTCTTCTAAGAAGATATTTGATAATAGTAATACTTTTTGGGTTAAGGGAGAAAATTTGTATTGGTTAAATAATATCACAAGTGGGATTTAAGGTGATATACTCTTCAAATATAATTATGATGATGTAATGTCTTAGATTTTTTTTGAATTTTTTAGTATTTTTATTTATTTTTGCATTATTATTTTTCGTACCTAGTTTTAGATGTCATGTGGGTACCGGAGATTATTTAGGGTATTTTTATGAGTTTAAAATTTTTAAAAATGCATTATAATCAATTTTGTCATTTTTTAATTTTTTGGTCCGAGAAGTCCCGTGTCGAACCAGGACTGCATTTTTGTGCTTGGGAGTTTTTCCCCATTTTCATTTTCTTTCATTAATTCTTAATGGCATGTTAATTATATATATATATATATATATATATATATATGTGTGTGTGTCGGATATTTTTGTGGCACATTAATAGTTGTGATTACATAGGAGGGGCATTTTGAAATTTTAGCTAAAGAGGTGGGGCCACTTTGACAAAAACATGAGTGGTGGGAACAAAAATCAGATTTTTTCATTTTTCAAACATCAATTTCCCGTGTGTTTCTCAGCCGGCCAAAAAGCGCTCTCTCTCTACTGTCACTCTCTTTCTCTCTCTCTCTCTCTCTCTCTATACATGCAACATTTCGATCTCAAATTTGTGGACTTTAGGGTATAATTTGGCATTACTCATTGTTCATGTTAGTGGTTTTACATGTGTAATATGGGGCGGGAGGTCTGAAAAAATAAAAATAGTCTTTTTAATTTGTAATATATTAATATTAAAATAAAAATTAATTATAAAATAAAAATTAATTATGCTTATTTAAGAACCATTGGATCTTCTTGCTTTTTGAGATGTGCTCCGTTTGCGTGGATGTAAAATATTTTTCAGAAAATATATATATATTTATTTTTTAGTGTTTGGTTGTCATAAAATATTTACGAAGGAAAAAATTTTAAAATTTTTCAAAAATAATTTATTCATCAATTTTTGTAAGTTATTTTTTACGTCTTGTCCAAAGGACTCGATTTTAATCTCGACTGGATCTTTACCAAATACTAAAAAGTACAAATAAAGTTGGTGCAAGAATAAAGGAGAAAAAAAAAAACAAAAAAACGTGGAATGGGACAACTAATTTGGCACAAGTGTCGTTAGCAGAATTGGCAAATAGCTACAGTTAATTCTCCCAATGAAAATAAAAAAATAATAATAATGAAATGTTTTGAAAAGATAACAATTATTTGCTTTTAATTTTTTTAAGGGGACCATTAATTTGGCGACATTCAAAAAGGGCAGAATAAGTTTTCAACAACTATAAAAGACACAGTTATTTGAAAATAGGCAATTCTGATAACTGAACCACAGTGTTTTTGCACACTTTTTAATTTGGGTTAATTACAACGATATTCCCTAAAGTTTGCCGTATTGACAAACATATATAAGTTGGCCATTTTTTGAACACTGTCAAAAATTTAAGCCAAACAAGCCCTTAAAATCTGTGAAAAGACAAAATTGCCCTTAATCAAATATCAATTGTTAATCTAAAATATTAAAAAATTATATAACATAATTACCCTTTTAAAATACGGAGTAATAGGTTTCTCTCTCTACCCTCTGCTCCCAAAAAAAATCCAAAATTTTTTGTTCTTCACCAATCCTCCTCTGCGTAGTCCAACCAATCTTGTCTATACACACACACCATTCCATCTTCATCAAGCTCTTCACCAATCCTCCCGAATTGGTACACAATTGAATCCCGACGAATTTATCAGACTCGTTGGTGTTGCATTTGGGGAACTAAAACCCTAATTCGGCTAGGGCTTCTGCAAATTCGTAATCGATGATGGTGGTGGGTGTGGTGGTACTGTGAAGGTCAAGTTTGAGTCTTCGAAGTGGTGGTGGGGTTAGGTGTGGTGGGGTTGTGGAGTGGGGATGGTGGTGGGTGCGGCAGGGCTGTGATGTGGTGGCGGTGAGGTTGTAAAGTGGTGGCGGCGGGGTTGTAAAGTGGTGGCGGGCCTGTGATTTGGTGGTGGCGGGGCTATGATGTGGTGGTGGCGGGATTGTAAAGTGGTGGTGGCGGGTGTGGCAAGGTTGTGGAGTGGTGGCGGGGCTGTGATGTGGTGGTGGCGGGTGTGGCGGGGCTGTGATGTGGTGGTGGCGACGGGTGTGGCAGGGCTGTGGAGTGGTGGCGGGGCTGTGAAATGGTGGTGGCGGGGCTGTCAGGTGGTGGTGGTGGGGTTGTGATGTGGTGGTGGTGGGTGTCGGTGTCGGTGTGGCGGTGCTGTGAAGATGAGAGGGTAAAGAGAGGAATTGGTTGAGGTGGTGGTATGGTGATGGTAGCTATGGTGGTGTGTGTGCCGCCAGTGGAGGGGCAACCAGCCAACTACCCGCTTCTTCTCTCACTCTCTATATATATAAGAGGAGATGATATATATACACATATATGTATTCGGTATATGTATACGGTTATAGTGATGTGGCAAGTTTGTTAATTAAAATTAGTTAGAAGGTTAACTTTGTAATTTCAAAATCTTAACAATTTAATTAACAAGTCAAAGGGTAAATTAGTCATTTTCTTATGTGTCAGGGTACAATCGGTGTTAGGGGGTGTTTTGATAATTTTATCAAATTTGAAGGGTTCTTTGTTCAAAAAAAGGTTAACTTATATATGCCTTACAATACGGCAAACCTTAGGAGATGTCGTTGTAATTAATCTTTTTAATTTTTAATTTTCAAATTTACAAATCAAATAGACCATAATGCTATATTTGGTAGGAAAGAAAAAAATTGAATGAAAGAAAGAGAAAAAGGGATGTATAAGACATTCTTAGGAGATTGTGTATTTCTCTTTTTTTTTTTTTTTGGGTTGGACAGAAGAGAAGTGAATAAGGCCTATAATTTATTATATTAGTTAAGAGAGAAGGAAAAATGAAGTTTTAATTATTTTTATTATTATATTCTATAATATATATAAGATTATAATTTATAGACAATAGTACTTTAATTTAAAATTAATATAATTTAAGATAGTATTTAATTTAAAAATTCAAATCACGTCCGTTGGATCCAAAATTGAAAGATCAAGCTTGGAAATGGACTAATTGTTTGCTTTTTGTCTTCGTGATTGAGGCTTTGCTAGAGAAGAGTGTAGCGAGAGAAAAAGATGTTAGTTCAGATGGGTTATAACCCGTTTAAAATGGGTTTTATTTATTTATTTATTTATGCACTAGTGCAACACAATTACATGTTAAAGAAAAAAAAAAAAGTTTAAAACAAAACGAACACAAAAGACACATTACAAAATACAACACTCCTGCAAAAATAATGTAATGTTACATATTTTTGTGGAACACAACACTCATGCAAAATATTGTATCATATTGTGAGGTTATATAATACTATTAAATTTTCAAAACATATGGTATCATATTGTAAAGTTATATAATACTATTAAATTGAGAATTTAACACAATTCTATTAAAAAAAAATCTATTTAAACACAATTATATAATTATCGTATTATCGATTTAAAATTGTTGCGTTTCCCATATAAAGTTGTTAGCCACCTAAACTTTGCATAAAATTCTCCAATAAAAAACGCTGAAATTTTTGGTTTCTTGAAATTTTTTTATAAACGTATAATAATGCACTTTTTTATGGTAAATTTAATTCTATTTAAACTATAAAATAATAATTTTTTATAAATTTTTTGAATTTTATTTTATATTAATCAAATACACTATTAGAAAATTATTTTAATTTTATTCACTCCACTGTATTTTAATTTCACTTTTTCTATTAATTTCTATCTAAAGGGAGCCGAAGCTAAGTATTAATGACTACTCTCCATCTGTATGTATCTAGGACAATGAATAAAATGCGCAATTTTTTTTATTATTATTTTTTTGTTCACACAAATGTTGATACAAAATTTTACTGGGTTGATACAAAAAAATAAAAAAATAAAATGCGCAATAATATCATTTCTTACAATAATTGTTGCTGCTTTTAATTTTACCTCAAACGTGGTTAACAATAACATCCATGTTCGCAAATAGACAAAGCCACGTTTGGTATTTTGTCTTAATTTTCAAACTTTTTTTAGGTGTCCCCCTTCCTACTTAACATCCATGTTAAAAGTCCTTCGTCAAAAGCATTTTTCTTTTCGAACAGGGCCTCTAGTCTAACCTACCTTTTTGTTCCTATATATCACTAGCAAATTGTTTAACAACGGCATCACCATTATAAGGGAAAATTACAGTGAATGAAGTTCAAGAAAAAGGTTTCTCAGTAACCAACCAAGTAAAAGAAAGTTGTTTTACAATTATCATTTTCTTCAATGCCAATTACCAATGTCATTGATCACCTACATATAACTAGAGAGGTTTAACAATATGACAATTCTTACCTTATAATCCATTTTTTTGAAACAAGGTAAACATGATCGAATCATAGTTATTCTTACATTTCTTAACTTGTCCTACATTCTTATTCACCATGACTACAGAACTTACAGAGGTCATTACAACATTCTCATGAACACCTATTGACAAATTTCGGGACTGTTACAAAAGAAATTTGATTACAAATTAGAGGTTTTGTTTGATGAAGCAAATGGTGTGCACTAAAACACCAGCTAAGTGAAATACATGTAGCAGAATTTACCGAGGCTTTGAGCCGATCAGAACACATCAGATAGAGATGCTGTTGGGAATACCGCGACCGGTTACTCCTGGACCTGATGAGCGAACCAGCAGTTCATATGGAGGAACTCCAGCACCACTTCGGTTTTTAAGACGGATATCCTTGTTCCTTCCGTTGATTGTCTCTTCTATCTCCTCCAATTTACTAGAGAATTTCTCAAACAATTTAAGTATTTCGTGGTCATGGATCCAGTGTCTATGAAGATGGTGAACCTGGCCCAAGTACTCTTCATCTGCGGAGTGAGTTGACAAGGTATCTTGGACAGCCATGACTTTGGTTGCTTGAAGTTGAGTCGGCAAAGATGACAGAAAAGTATGCTGAGGGTTTAGAAGAAATTTCTCGTACTCAGGACCGTCTTCACGAGGAATAAGTTTTCTCATAAGGGTGGGACGGTTAGGCACATATCCACCAAACGGGTACTGCCCAAAGTTTATAGCTGCATGTTGACCAGAAGCAATCCAAATCATTATGGTAAGTATGCCGGATAAGTCCTCTTTAGTGTTCAGTTCAGGCCACCAGTGCTCGTTCCTCTTATCGAAGTGACCTTTGTTCTTGATCTCACTCCACCAGGCTTGAAGCTCAACATCAGATCTGATAGAATTTGAATCGTAAGCATAGTAGTGTTCTACATAGGATTCAACCCATTCTTTTATGGCAGACCATATGAGGAGTCCATCTGCTGCATAAGGGTAGTCTTCAATCACAAGTTTAACACCACAGGGCATTGAAGGATCCTCGACAGCCATGCCCCTGAAAATGTTATCAAGATTGTACAAACTTCAACGTTTTGCTAAGAGCGATCTTAAAGGCAGAGGATGCTCGAAAATGGAAAAAATAGAATCAGGCTAAATATGCAAGGGGATGAAAAGGTCAACTGATTGAAGAATTGAGTTTTTAAGGGATTTGTATGCATGAGAAACCCCTTACCTCCGAATTAAATCTGCTGGCAATGCCTCCATATCAAATCGCCACATGCTCTTGTAGGCTGCAGAGCTTAATTCCATTGCATATTTTCCTGGGCTAAAACAAGCCTCGATAATTCCCCCTCCATTTATTAAACTTTGTCGTGCAAGTGCATTGATTTCCAGTGTGTAGCGCATATGAGGGTGGAGCAATTTGTAAATAGGGTGCATTGAGCTAAGCTGCCTATGGGTGGCAATAATATAAGGCTCCATACAAGCATGAGTCCTCAACCTGAAAAACTCAAATTACAATCACATTTGGAAGAATTCACATCTTAATACTTAAACAAGCATATGGTTAGTTTTTCAATGCACCATGTTCCTTAAGTCTCACCAATCTTTTAAATTTCTGTTTTAAGAACCAATTAGAGAAGGGGACAACATAAATCCAAAAATCACAATATACCAAAAGTTGTATGAATTAACATGCTTGTATGATAGTGACATGAAATGAAAAAAAAAAAAAGAAAGGGAATAAGAAAATCATAATATTTAGTAATAGATCTTCAGTCTTACCAATGATTCACTAATTGATGGATGCCAGCGTCATTAGAGCAAACATGAGCTTTAGCTTGCTTCCAAATCCAATGAGTTGTAGCATCATGTCCAAGAGTGAAAACACGTTTGTTTCGTGGTGAAGAAGATGTGGGAGGAAGGGAAAGCTCAATTGCAATGGGCCTCAGATTGCCGGCACGGCTGTAGAAGAAAATTGTCCTAGAGGCATAAGCTTTTCTCCCTGGCAAGGAGTTCATCTTCTTGATAAATGGCAAAAGCATGTCATGGTAGTCAAGTATAAATAGTCTCTTGTTCTTAATTGCCTGTATCATCAATACAAAGATGGCCGGGTCAGAAATATTGATCAATAAATTTTCTTTTTTTTTTCGGGAAATTTCAATAATAAATTCTTTCTTTTTCCTGAAGAAAGGAAAAAAAAGGAATACATGGTTATCTTCATTTTTTTTTTTTTTTAGCCAAATTTTAACTATATTGAATCTCTGCACCGTGATTCGTCCATTTTCATCAAGAAAAACTTGGAGACAAAACAACAAGAATCAAAGAAAGATGCTTGGCCCAAAGCTGTATAAAAAAAATCATTGGACTGCGTGTTGATGGCATATTCTTAATTTATGCGATAGTTGTCGTTATTTACATTTAATTATATGGAGGAAGAAAGAAGCTACATCAGGGGGATAAAACTTCAGAATAGAATATGTTTGTTGCAACACTGTTCACAAAATCTTGCCACAGCAACTTCCCAAGTAAAGTAGTAGGAATAGAGATGATATTTAGCTGCCCATATAAAAACTGGAACATTGTTTTAGGGAACATATTACCTCCGACAGTGAAGCAGGGTTATAAAATGAATTCATCAACATAATGCATGTAGATATCCTGTACCTCTTCGACACTCATTCCACTCAGTTCCTCCTCTATCATCTCTTTTGTTATTGCCGACTCTGGTGGGCCATAAATTGTAGGATCTAATTTGCTCCGAATTGGGAATTCCTGTAATTAAAGCCCAACTTGATGACTCTCATTGGACAATCAACAAAAAAAAATTGCGAAGTAACTGATTGAAAACTAATGTAAGATATTACCTTCAAAAGTTCGATATTTACTGGGTTGACACCAGCCAAAGTCTGGCGTCCAAATTCATTGTCCCGAATCCATGCAAATCTATCCTCTATAGGACAGTAGGAGAAATTCAGAACGTGCAAAAAAAATCAGTGTTTCAGAAGTCAAAACTCAGGGTTCTCAATATCTAGATGCCATTTGAAATTTGACAGTGAATTTGTATCACAACCAAGTGACAAAAGCCTCATTTCAAGCTTATTAACTGAAAGAAATGAAGAATGGGAAAAAAAGAGCACATACTTTTAATAATGGCTGGAACTTCATACTTCAACAACCTTTCACCAACAGTTAATATTTGTTTCACCATACTGGGCAGAAGCTGATTCTCAACTACTTCTTGCTCATCATTTTTCAAGACAACACCATCATTGTACATCTTATCTATATCAGAAAAGCAAGTGAAGGAGATGTCTGAACTTGACAAAGTAGCAGCAATAGATGGAATAAGGTTGTGTAACAGAGCTTTCAACCGTCCAGCAGAGAAAGTGTTTTGCTTAATCTCCTCAAAAGTTTCATCCCGAGGAACATAAACTGGATGGGGTTTCTCTATTCTACTCTCGGAGAACGGATCTGTTTAAATTTCAATCCATGCCATGATCAGGTAAATACACAGCAGAATTAAAGAGAAAAACAGAAGGAACAAAATGCATCGTAATATTGGAAATACCTGACTTTGTTGGAGGTCTACCAGTTCGACAGCGCCTAGGATAAGGCCACTCCTCACCAGCCAGGACTGGTCTAACAAGATCCTCACTTTTATCAGGCCTACCTAAGTCATTATAAGGAGCATAATCATAGATTCTATCATGTAGCTTCCTCTCGCCTTTACCATTACCACGAATACTCAGTAAATCTTCACGTCGAAGATCTTTAAGACCAGGTGGTGTTTGTGATGGTAAGTATGCCTGCCCACAACAATGATGTAATTCTGTTGGATCAACCACTCGTACTGAATTTGGCAAAACTAGTATGAAAAGCATTTACCATATATGGTTCTTTACCTGATTTTTGAAGATAATTCTGCTTTCAGGATTGTCATTCCGTGAATGAATCCATGTATTAGCAAGGAAAAAAAAGGGACTTTCATCAAAACCATGAATGACAATCTCCAGCAAGTAGAACTCCTTGCCATGAAAATTGGTAATGATAATAGCTCCAGGACAACCAAAGTCATATGGAACCGTGAAATTAGCAGAATATTCAACAATGTAAGAACTATTTGATGGCTTTGGCAACCAGCCCCTCACATAAGATTCCACACTCTTTCCCGACTTTGTCACTGCGAGAACAAAACAGTTCCACTCAACATTTCAAATTGCATAAAAGGAGAGGAAAAGGGGACTAGGTCGAGACCATGGGGTGTTACAGCATTGATGCAAGAATGTATTTCTTAAGCACTCCCTCCCCAACCCCACCCCCAAAACGCACAAAGAAACTCACACAAAAAAGACTAATTTGTAGAAGATATATAGAAGACAATCTTAAATTTGGCATGGACATGTTTGTGTAAGCATATGTTGAACAATTTTAATAAAAATAAGGAAAACTTATTTATGTTGGAACCCTTTATTTAGATGTAAAGTTGTGTACTTGTTGTAACTTGAAAATCTGAAAACACAATGTTCAAAGAAATACAGCAATGGAAGGCTTTCCAGGCAACAAAAAAATACCAGTTTAGAGAATATGTGTGTGCGCGTAAAGGAACACCAGACATGTTTGTCTATGGATATGTTAAAGTACTTTGATAAAATAATTAAAAAAATATTAATTATCAACTTTTCTAGACATAAACAACCTACTGCAATCACCTAAAGATCTGTGCGAGTTTTTTCAGTTGGTGCCTTGGTCAAATCTTTGGATCAACTAAAGATTATGAGTTATCAACTTTTCTAGACACAAAAAAATAAACAAATATTAATTCTTTTAATAAAAATCAAATCAACCCCTTTTACAGTATGTCATCCATTTTGAGCCACTTTGCAGTAATACAAGAGAGGGAACACAACGATTGACCAATTTGTGAAAGTTAAAAAAAACAATCAGAACCCAAATTTGTTTTCAAATGAAAAGGTAAATTCTATGAATACCCTTTAACATATATAACAAATACAACAAATAGAAATACACACACCCAAAATTTTTGTGTGTGTGTGTGTGTGTCAAAAGGAAGCTAACCAGGATCAATCTCTTCACTGATGAGCTGGAGCAAGATGCCCTGACCAATCCCATTGATGAAAGACTCCCACTGATCTTCAATTTTGTCTGTGAGTTTCTCTTTCATCTTCTTCCTGATTGTGATCACAGCCCTCACATCTATCCCTCTTGTTGTTGATGAAGACACCAACGACCCCTTATTGTCCTTTGAGGTCTCCACCACATTTGCAGACTCCACAGTCTTGTTGTCCCCACTACTGATCACAGCTCGAACCGACCCACGATTCCGGATGACCCGTGACCGGAATCCGGGAATCTGAGTACCCCTTCTGCTGAGTCTGCCATTATTTCCGGCGCCGGAGAAGTCAGTCAACTGCCGTACGGCGGTGGCGGAGATGTCTGCCCTCGGACTGGTTCTTGGTTGAGCTGTAAGCATCTTTGGAAACTAGACACTGGCTCAGAGTGCTGAACGGCTGTTGAAGTGTAATGTATAATCAATTCACATATGTCTATAAATCTCACATACATATATATGGACACACACACATATATATATAACTATATATGTACCAGTCAAGTAAGTCTACCCAACTCAATTATTTTAGTCATAATTTATGTGACTATGAAGTTAATGGTTTTAATTTTGATGTCAAAGTCATCTAAGAAGATATTAGATAATAGTAGTAAATAGTTTTTGGTTAAGAACTGAAAATTGTATAGGTTAAATAAGCGCGTAATTACGATAAATTACAATCGTTTAGTATTTATTATTTTTATATCTTTTCTAAATTTATCTGTAAATTAACAAAAAATAATTAAAAAAAATTTAAGTGTAAAAAATCAATAATATCAATATTGTAATAATATATTATATTGCAATATATAAGGCCGTTATTATTTTTTCATATATATGGGTAAGACAAAATTTCCATTTTATAATATTTCATCAACAGATTTGTCGAAAAGAAAATACAAAGGTTGAATTCGGTTGCATTAAATTGGAGCCTTGAAGTTAGAATTGGTGAAATTGGTATAAATTATTAAGAAAACTGAGCCAATTTTTTTTTTTTTTTTAAATTTCACAAATTTTAATTTTAGTATCCAATTTCATACGGCCGAACATGGCCTAAGGCTCCAAATTTAAGGGTATTTCAACCAAAACAAAAAATAATTGTCTGATTAATCTAGCTTTGGATGATGAACCTTTTTTGACAGATTTAGTAGCCCACTAGGATTTTAATTCGGGTAGTGTAAAAAAAAAAAACATCATAATTTAAATAAGAAAAACAAAAATACATCATTCTTAAGTGCAAAAACAAAAATCTTAAGAAGTAGGGAAAAAAAAAAAGGAAGAAGAATGAGAACTTTGAAAGGAAAAAAAAAAAGAAGTTATTTCATTAGTCTAAGGCCCCTTTGCTGTCATAATTCATTCTTCACTTCTCTCTTTCTTTTTTTTTTTCTTCTCTCTCTCTCTCTCTCTCTCTCTCTCTCTCTCTCTCTGTCTCAACTACCAATCAAGTAATAAATGTCCAAACTTAAAAAGAAGTTGATGTAACTTAATTTCATAACTTCAAAAATATAATTAGAGATTAATATGATAGGAAGGACAAGTCTAAAAAGGATCAACGTGGGACACAAAACTCATTGAACATCGAATTCTAAATCATTTTTCATATAATTATTAAAATTAAGTAAAAGTCAAGATAAATTAGTGAATTTTAAGGTGAAACCCTTCAAATATAAGTGGATAATTATGAAGATCAAGCTTAACCATATTCGTTTATGCAGAATAATGTTAAAAGGTTATATGCGAGGAAATTAATAATGAATTTTGGCCTAATGATCGAATAATATCACAAGTAAACCCAAATTATTTTTTAATGGACAAGAATTATTTTTATAACTAGAGCTTCTAAGTTGGAGGGAGCAACAATTTATGTTTAATAATTTTATAATTTGAGGTGCAATTGTGTTATAATTTATTGAGTAATGACATACAAATAAAAACAATATAAACAGAGATTAAATAAATCAGATGGGGTTTGGTTGTACGATGCATTCACACGCCAATCACACAATTAATTATATACATATAAATAATATATTACATTGATGCAGCAAATTTGAAACAGAATTACATGCGGGCATGGAGAACATAACTCACGATCAAAATAAGACCAAAGTTTCGAGAAGTTGACTGATAAATATACAAAATTTATTATTTTATGTACCAAAATAAGATTTTAATTAGATTTTTATATTATTTAAATATTTTTATATACTCATTTTGTGTTTTATAGGGGTTAATGTGTGAAAAAAAAAAAAAGAAAAGAAAGTAAAAATAAAAGTCAACATGCCACATCATCATTTGCAAAATATATATATATATATATTATATTTTGAAAAGAGAAAGAAGAAAAGAAGAAAAGAAAACAAAAGAAAACAAAATGAAAAAAGTGTGTGCACGTGAAGAAGAGAAAGGAGGAGAGAGAAAGAAGAAAAGAAGAAAAAAAAAGAAAAGAGAGAAGAAGGAAGAAGTCAGCAATGGTAAGTAAGAAGAAAATGAAATGGTCAGTTTAGAAAATAGTAGAAAGGTGGCGTGAAGAAATGAAGAAACAATTTGGGAAAAGCCATCATCACATCCTACAATAGGGTTGCTTCGTTTAGTTATAAATTACACACTTCGGAGGTGGAGTTAGAGGGAGAACTAGTTAGAGATAGAGATAGAGATAGATAGAATGATATAATAGATTGAGTTTTTCTTATTGTTTCTAGTTGTAATTTTCTTCTCAATACATTGTTATTTTATTACTTACCAGTTTCTTGCTCTCAATTTATATACTTGAAGTTTCTCATTCTAATATTGCTTTACATATTTGTTGTCTAATATTTATTTCTAGTTAGTGACAAACTCCAAAATCAATATTTTAAAAATCTATTGTCCGAAAATAAAAACTCACTTGAATGCATGGTTCGACCCTACTTACCATTAGACATTTTTAGTTAAATGGATGTAGGTATTTTTTTATGTTATATGGAGTGTATTTGATAACGACAAGTCCATAAATACACATTTATCATTGACAAATTATTACCAACCTAATGCTTAATACAAAATTTAAATATTTCTTCGGGTTACATATTTAATCTCTAGTGACAACGACTCACTTAATATGTAAGTGTTCGATTTGGACCCAGTCGGTTCAAATAAATTTATTCTTTTTTGTTCTTTTTTTTTTTCATAATAAATGTTAGGTTTAAAAAATGGCATCTAAAAAAGAGTATTAAACATCACCTTAATTGGCAAAGAGAGATGTAACACCAACAACCTAAGTTGCAATCACTACTCAATAAATGCACAACTGTAGCAAGTATAATTATGACTGCTCTTAGTTCTACACCAAACACTGTTAACAGCACGTGTGCAAATAAATAAAACCACGTTTGGTAATGTCCTAAATTTTAAATTTATTTGTTAAATGCAAATTTTTTTTTTTTTTTAGGTATCCTTTTTCTTTCCAAATTAAAATCATGAATACATTATGGTAGAACATATTATCTTTTATAAAATATCCATTTGAAAATAAGCTTGTTTGTCAAACACCTTTTTCTTTCCCTTTTTTATTTCGGCAATTTAATTTTGTTTTTAAAAATAATGTTATGTTTTGAAGTACTGAATTAAATTTTGAAAATAAAATTTGAATTATTAGTTTTTTCTTTTCTAATTTTAAGTTTAAAGCACCTATTCGATGAACTTACAAATGCAACATAAAAAATAAACTCTTATATTATGACAGTTTACATATTCCCTTAAAATTACTTCATTTGTTACATTTTATTTCCAATTCCCAAATGTAACTGTAAAATTACTTCATTTGTCAATACATTTTATTTCCGATTCCCAAATCTAACTGTAAACTTATTCATAGATCCTAAAAATTGTGCCTGAACAAAGTAACTTCAACTACAATATACAATTAAAAGAAAAAAGAAAGTGCAGTTGATGCTGCAAATATTATAATGGGATACGAATTCATATATATACACACACACACACACATATATATATATAATACTATTTTCTGGGCTTGATTTGCTTTTAACAAATATTACGGCAAAATTACTTCCCAAATGTGACTTGTAAGAATACTTTTGAAATTTGAGATCACTATATTTGTGTTATTTTTAAAATGGACATGGACGGAGGAAACATTAATCTTGTTTTTCTCTCTCACACACATACACAAAAACAACTTTGTTGTGTATAGCTATCACTACAATCTTCCATTACATGCACTGGTGTTCTCTACATAAATATTGTAAGGTGTCAATTGGTGCTGTCACTGTGCCACTTTGAAAAGTCAGAATTGTCTGACATGTCAAGACATGGTTCATTGAAAAATCATAAAATGAAACTCTAAAGAGTATCATATTAGGTCATTAAATCTAGAAAAGATATGACGGTGCTAAAAAAAAGTAACATGGCATCGCGCCGAGTCACCAAATTTCAAAGGTACAAATCTCAAGCTTAATCAAAATATTGGCATCGCGTCAGGCGACCAAGTCTCGAAAATACAATTCTCAAGCTTAGTGAAAATCCTGGCATCGCATCATGAAAACAAGCCTCGTAAGCACGGATCTCGAGCTTAATCAAAACACTGGCATCACACCAGCTCATTAAGTCTCGAAGGCATAGTCCTCAAGCTTCGTCAAAATCTGACATCACAACAGTCACCAAGTTTTGAAGACATAATTCTCGAGTTTAGTCAAAATCCAAGCTTCGCACCATGTCACGGAGTCTCGAAGCCACAACCCTTGAGCTTAATTAAAACTTTGGCATCACCCTAGATCATTTAACCTTGAAGGTATATAGTCTCAACAATACCCTGATATCATACCATGTCACTAAATTTTAAAAGTCTAATTCTCAAACTTAATCAAAATTCTGACAAAGCACCGTCTCATTAAACCTCAAGCATAAAATCTTAGTAGAATATTAGACCTTTGAAGAAGTGGATTGTAAAACTCAATATTGCTGAGTCCGATCATCTCACGATATAGCAGACACTAAAATCCTTTTGGTTAGCTATTCTATTATTTTTTCCCCAGAATCTTCTCTCTGAGTCCATCACATATGTGTTTGGTATCTTCATTTAATATCCTAACAATCTTTATAATAATAAAGAATCCTTACAAATCTCCATCTCATCACAGAGGAGAAACAGATAAAAATAAAATGGAGGAAGATTCGTTCATTTAGACAATTATCCAAAAAAAAAAAAAAAAATCTCCACATGATCTTACAAAAATAAAATAAATAAAATCCTATCAATTTATTGGAATATACAGTTCAACAAAAAGATGGTCAATCTAATATAGAATTGAAAAAACCCTAGTGGACCAGTTTTCAACCTAAGTGCCGTGCACCATGTGGTCCATGTGGAGTCACTAATGATAATGACATGTACCAAAGGCTAAGGTCCACCACTTCGTACCCCACACATCATTAGCATCATGTCTCCGACCCACCA